CACACACACACACACACACACACATATATATATATATATATATATATAGTCTAATTTAATAGGTGGCTGGCTACTGATCGATACACGTAAAGTGCAGGTCTTCTGTACTGAGCATCGATTTCGAGAAGTATACTCAACTGTGGTCGGACAATGATTGATTGTAAGATTAAGTGAATTAGGCCATATCGCTGCGCCTAATATCCTTTCGTGTGTGTGCGAGAGTACTCCGCTACAACAGTTGCTACAGGCTGTGCTACTCGATCTATCTACATATCAGGCCATATGCACAGGTATCGAAAGGTTCATCGGATTTCAGTTATGATTGCCCACCTGAGATTCGAGGTGTGACGCCGAACCAGAAACACTGCCACTCCAGGCTTCTCGAATACTACACCATGCTAAACTATGGCACAATTACTCACTCTCGTGCTGCTACCTCATGTTGACTATACTATAGCAACCCAAGCCAACTCACTAACAACTAATCATATGCGCCTCATCTGTACAAGCGCACAACGTTAACAGTATACACTTCCAAATTACGTATATCAAATGGTGTGTACTAGACGCCGATGTTCAATGTCAATAACCAAGTTCAAAATTTCAAATCATTCCTATTCATCTGCAGTATGTCTATCTCCACGAGTTATCGTAGCACTGTGATGTGTAGCCACAACTTACCGTAGAGATCCAAATATCTCATCGCCCTCTGGCCATTTCATACCTATTCTTTTTTGTATATAGTGTGGTGTCGCGTATTACATATATAGTGAGTCAAATAAAAATAAACACATAAAAGCTATTCGCACAAACGATATTTATTGCACGTTTTGTGATAATTTTTAATTTTTGATTGTTGTCATAGTGATAAATATTGGGGCAGTCAGACACTGTTTTCAAACACCCGTGATACATACAACATCATACACGTTTACACATACACAGACACAATGAACGGACTACCGGATTTTGACAGAAGCGCCGTTCCTCAGAGGAGGCCGAAAGAGAACAAGATGAAAGATGGAAAGGGCAACTACGAAAAGTTGAGGAATCTCAACCCCACGGACAAATGGCATAGCAGTCAGTTCAAAAGGCCCAAGAAACAGGTTAATATATTTGAGTGTCTGTCGTTGTAGAGTATTATCAGTACACATAATCTCAACCCCACGGACAAATGGCATAGCAGTCAGTTCAAAAGGCCCAAGAAACAGGTTGATATACTTGAGTGTCTGTCACTGTAGAGTATTATCAGTACACATACATATTGGAATAACAACATTTCCTATACTAAAGTTTCACTGGCATAGTAAAGTTGGTGTCGGTACAAGTTTGCTTCGAATCCGTGGCCAGGCGGTTAAATAGAGTCTCTACACGCACGCACAACACACACAAAAAATGAACTCACACACATGTACATACGCACACACACACACACACACACATATATA